GAATAGAACATGTCATGCCAATTTGATGAGTGAATCATAAATTGAATAGCAACACCAATAAAAAAAAAAAACAAATAGAATGGTCAAGACTGTTGAAAAGTGACACTTCAGCGTATTTTCAATAGAGATAACTAAATATCTTTTTTTTGTATGTTCTCTCTCTTTCTCTCTTTCCCCTTTTCATTTTCCTTGCATTTGTGTTCATAGGCATTACTTAACGTTATTGTACATTATCATTAAAAATTTATCAAAAGACGAGGGTCGCATCATTGGCTCTCGCGAGCTCGTGTATGTTTCCCCAAGTGCTCACCCACAACGACCATGTTTGACTGGGGGCCACGACAACTCAGTAGTGAGGATGAGCTCAAAGGAGTTCAAATGCGCGTCTACACCAAACCGGCGGGGCTTATCGGTCGGTTTATCGGTCGCGCTCTGTGCTTTCGCATTGATGACTTTTCGTATTTTCTCAACCGCAAAGATGGTAATTTGCAGCGCGTTGAGGTCGAGGCAAGCTCAATCACGCCGGAGTGTGAGGTCTACTGCGATGCCGTGCGATCGGAGAGGGTCGGCCTCACCTTCTCCGAGGTGGCGCGTCTGAAACGACGGCTAAACATGAGCGTCCTCGACATCGCACGCTATCCGATAGCCGAGTTCGACGTCGAAAGCGATGAAAGCGATGAGATGAAAGGCGTCCTCCACTTCCACGGGAAAAGCCACCCCATCACCTGCGTAAAGCAAATCCAGGCAAGGGATCTGCTCGTGCGCTGCCCAATCTCGATGAGAAAGTTTAACATCCCACCGTATGGGATTTGGCTGGGACTGCTTAGCGTTGCCGATGAGGTTGATATCGAGACACGTGTTTCTTTGAACGCCTTGAAGTTGTAGGCATATCGACGTGGAAAGACTATTCGCTCCTTCCCCCCCACCCCCTCCAAAAAGAGGAGCCCAAGCAACAAAATGAATATTTCATTACCGTTTGCGTATTCCCTCTACCTGACCCTTCTTTCTTTTGGATTTCTGTCAGATTGAATTTTCCTCCTTGCTAATCCTGCCTTTCTGCAAGCATGGCAAGGAGGGGGCCCGTTGCGAACTTCCCCTCGTTAACATTAGCGGAAGCAAAAAAAAAGCGAAATGTTGAAATATTTCACCCTTTAGGATGGCGTTGATGGAGCTCGAGGGAATGGCCTAGAAGAGTACCGTCGAGGGCGTCCTGTGACACGGAGAGGGGGGGGGAGGGGCACTCCGC